TTCCAGCCCTGTGACTCCCAAACCCCGGACACAAAGTGTCTGAGCAGGCTCTGCCATCCAGAGTGAATTGTCAGCGTTAGGTACATCAAGGTCATCCCACTTTGAAAATATTTCTAGACTGCCCATGGAATCCAAGATTTATTTCACTGTTTGAGCTGGTTTTTTTGTTTTGGTTTGTTTTGGTTTTTTTTAATGGATTGGGTCATAGCATCGTGTTTGATTCATTAAGGCAATAACCASCACAGACCTAGGCTGCGAGTTTGAAATAAATGGAAAAGTGAAAGAAGATGGGGGAGTTCCAAAATGTCCTGGTGTTAGGGAAGATGAAAGGAAGGCGCTCACCTTTCTGCAGATGGATGGACAGGTGTCAACATCCCTGAAAGGATGGGCAGGAGGTGTCAACAGCCCCAAAAGTGTTACATTTGGGCAGGTGGGTGGCCTTTTCCAGCCCTCTTCCTGCCAGATATGAGCGAAACCTGCTGCCTCTGCACAAGCAGCACAGCTACRGGCAACATCTGGCTGCTCACAGCTGGAGAAAACAGGGAAAATTTCCATCCCCTGGCCCCAGATGTGGAGCTAATCAGCGCCAGATGTGGGGATTTGGAGCAGAACAGAAGTTGGGGACGTGTGCGGGTGTTCCTTGGAGAGCRCCGCGGCTCCTGCCCGGGCTGCTGGTCCGGGGCCAGCGCCTCGTAAACAGGTGTCAGCCTCCCAAAAAAAGCACTGCCCTCCTTGCCAGCRGCGGGGATCCTCGCTGGCATGGCAGCATCCTCGCTGGCATTCCCGGGCACGGCTCCTGGGTTCGGCAGGAGTGACAATGACAATGACCCTGCGCTGGGAACGGGACCCGCTGCGCTGGGGGAGCGCTCGGAGCCCGCCCGCCGCTTTCCTCGCCTCGCTTTTCCAGGGATTTTGGGATCCAAACCGGACAGCCTTGGGGTAGATCAGGTGGGGGGAGAAAGTGAAAGGTGAGTCGCTTGTTAGAATTATCCTTTTTTAATTCTTAGGGTTAAGCCCTAGCTCGGGATTTGGGATCCGGGAGGTGCCGGAACGGGTGAGGACGCGCTGAAGGAAGATGCTGCTGCTAGGGGGCAATATGTAGCAAGAAAAACCCCGCTCAAGCGTTTGATCTCAGCGTCTCACCGAACCTTTTCTTAAAAAAAACCTAAATCCAAAAGGTGTCCAACAGATGGCATGCACTAATGCTTTTGCTGCAGAAGGAGCATATTACAAACAAATATTAAACCTTTATTTATAGGCTGTATTTCTTTTAGGATATATGTATTTTTGTGTGTGTGCATGACTTTCTTGATATTAATTCCTCATTACCCACATGATTCTTAATTTTTCRTTCTGAATTCTATCATAGTTGGTATAAAGCAAAAAGATAAGGATGTGGGCATTTAAAAGCTTTGAATCACATGGCGTTGTAACTCTCCTGCTGCTTCCCTGKTGAGAACAGCTGGGACAGCCAACTCAGAGTTCTTGGTGACTCTTTTTGTTCTACCTCTTTCTTAAACATACTCCCTAAAATAGAAAACAAGAGGAAAAAAAGAAAAGAAAAAAAGAAAAGAGGGAAGAAAACAAGGGAAGGCAGCTTCAGTGACATTATTGGTTTCAGATTGAACAGGGAAATATTTTAGTTGTTTATTTGTTTAGATATACTCATATTGACTTGATGATGCTCACTTTAGAACTAGTGCAGGGTGTTTCCTTATAAGTTGCCTTGTGTGAATAYGATTTTTAAAGAGTTTGAGGGGTTKCTTTATTATTTCAGTCTTGTTTCCTGTATTTTCCTGTTCAGAGTAAGAGACTCAAGCATGGGCTTGAGTCTGTGTTCCASRRACATTTGGGACTTCTGCTGACTCARAATCCATRGGGTTTTGAACAACATCAGCTGTGGATGCAGAGGAGAAAGGGAGGATTGGTTTTATGACTGTGTTGAAATACATGGAGTGCATCTTTGAGTCTTTGTTGTAGTGTTTTCTGCTTAATAAACCGAAGAGAGAGGGTTAGTCAGCATTAGAAGGCAGCAAAACCAGCAGTTTCCACAGTGCTCTCCTCTTTCAGCTCCCAACAAAGATATTAGGACATCACTCTGGMTGAATTARGRCATYARTGTTCTCTGCACTCCTCACCTTACYGCCACTGTCTTGCCATAAATAATTCTGAACATGGATTTATTCTGAAATTAAATTATTGTCTTTGTTTAACATGATTAGCATAAAATATTCATGGTTTTAAAATACTCTGCTCCATGTGAAAAGGAGGTTTTTTTTTCTGCATCAGAAGGCTTTGACCTCTGCCAAATCAACACAAGCAAAGTGGTTGTAATCCCTGGGTGTTTGTAATTGCCAAAGTGGTTTGGATGGCTTTAACTTAGTATTAAATGCTGACATCACCTTTAAGGGCAGAAAGCAAACTTGGCGTAATGAAGATTATATCAAGAAAGCTCTCCCCATTTCCCATATTTTCCAGTAGCCATAATAAACCAGAATTGTGTGATTCACTGCCTACCCAAAGCCCTTGTTCTTTCCAATATTGCCRGGCTGTGATGTGTAAACAGAGCTGTAAATCTCTGTTTGTGTCGGGGGCACGGTTTGGGCTTGCACCGTGCTGCTGAATCATCTGAGCTCTGTGCTGGGACTCAGCAAACGCTGCTTGGAAGAGCAGCACAGAGCACAGGGAGGTGGCCTGGCCTCAGGRAGGCTTGGGATTGTCTCCTCTGAGCCTTCTCCATCCCAGTGGGGATTTCTAAGGTGGCAATTTCCAGTTCACAGGTCCGTGATTCAGATTCACAGCCAGTGAAAGGTGCTTCTCTTCTGGAATCCTCTGTGACGTGCTGGAGTCCCTGGGTTTTACCATGTACATATGTGAAAATGAGAAAACAAGAGAGGATTTTTACAGCATTGCTTCTATAAAGTTGTTTCAGGCATCCTTCCAGATAAAAATGCAGGTTGCTACGCTTGTGAAGTTCCAAAAGCCGTATTATTTTGTGGGTGTTTTACAGCCATACAATACAGGTTTGAGTRCAGGGGATTCTGCAGCTGCCCGTCTTTGTTTCCATCCCCACCGTTCAGGGACCCTGCCCGTGTCTGCCTGTGTGTGTTGGGAAAGGGAGACCCTACAGATGTGGGGGATTCTTACAAACGTAAAACATAAAAACGTAAAACGTAAAAAGCTGCTCCCATGAGACAGCACATTTTTGGCTGCATCTATTACCCTAAAAGAGGCTTCTTTAACTGTTACAAATTGCTGTTCCAGTGGCTCACTGAGTTTGGTGATGCTGCCCCAAGGTCTCGTGAGCGCTGTCTGTTCTGGGAGAGCTCTTGGAGCATTTTAGAGAAAAGCAAGGGCAGCAGCCCAGGTGTGCCAAGGTGGGGGTGYTACTACTGTGCACATGAGTTGGGTSATTGCTGCCCAGGTTTTGTGGTGAGGTGAGCATGGCAAAGAGCCCTGGAGTTCCTCTGGAAGCAGCTCGAGGCAGCAGATTGCCCCGAACTGAAATGGAGACCCCCCAAACTTGTGCTGTTGGCAAGTTCCAGGGAAGCACAACTCAAATTCCACAGAAGYGTGGCTTTCATAACAATGATGTTTATCTTTCTCTGGTAAGCTCAGGAGATGTGCCAAGGCTTCCTCCTCTGCCTGCTGCAGGGTGTTGTCCCTGCTGGCTGCAGGTCCCCACAAAGTCACAGGTTCCTGCAGTGTCCTTCCAACATTACCCTTGGGTCAGTTTGCTTGGGGCCAGGTGTGGTCAAGCTCTGACCTTCTCCAGTGATGGATGGAGAATTTGTCGCTTCCCTGGTTCCTTCCCCATCGCGTGATCATTGCTGTTGTTAGAGTTGAGGGTTTTTTTTCATGTTTGGTCCTGATTTCCCTCATTGCTGCTGATGTCTGTATCCTCCCACCCTTTTCTCATGCCCTGTGAGCAGAACCTGGCCCTGCTGTGTCTGCACCGGTTCAGCTGGTGGCTGAAGGCAGGAATGGAGCTCCCTCATCTGCCTTCCCCTCTTTGGGCTACATGAGTAGGATACTTTCTTGGATTTCCATTTTTCCAACCTGCCAAACCCCCTTGAAGAGGCAGCCTTGCTCCTCAGCTTCACATCACCTGCAGATATGCTGGAAATTTTCCTTGTCTCTTCCCTCCACATCATCCCTGAAGTTCAGCCAGACCCAGACAGGGAATTCAGTTGCGTRTTTTTGTTGTTTGGGAAAGCCAATTTAGTATCCATAAATTCTACAATCCTTGCTTTATCTTCTCTCTTTAGACAAGCAAGTCCTGCTTCAGTGTGGTTTCAAAAAAAAAAAAAAAAAAAAAGGTACAATGCTGCAGTATTTTATTTCACTTATGCTTGCATAAGTGCCCATGTGCAAACAGCAGCTTGCATTCTGTCGCTTAGCTGGTTTCTCAGTTTTTAGGGGAATGGTTTCATTAAATCCTTTAGCCTGTCTATATGCTTAAACAGAAAGTGGAAACAGTTCCGATGTTCTCATCAGAAGCAGGCTGAGAGGGAGGAACCCCTCAGACTACTGGAATAAGAATGGTTCAGTGTGGCAGATGCAGGATGTAGGTTCTTGAGGGGAAGCCCTTGAGTCAGTTTTTCAGCATGAACAACTGCCTGTTAAAGGAGAAAATGCCTCCTGGGAAGGGGAGAGCACCATGGCACCTATCCTCACCAACAATTTTCCTCTTTTCCCTCCTCTCTTCCCACTCTTGCCAAGAAATACAATCATGCCATGAGCAGACAGAGTAAAAACATCCTGAGACACCTGTGCAGGATAAAAGTTAGCTGAGCCCTCTGCCTCTGGAGGAGGAGGAGACCCAGGTAGGGCTGAAGAGGCTGGGGAAAGCTGAGCAGGGAGAAGGGGTGGGAGCCCTGCCCAAGGGCTCGTTGGCAGGAGAAGGCAGGAACAGGATCCGTTTCAGCTTTTGGGTGGCTCTGGGAGGAGCAAGTGTTGGGATTAAAGTGTCCTGATGAAACTGTTCCCTTTCTTCCCAGACGCAGACAGCGAGTTTCATGGGGTGGATTTCCTGCCAGAAGATCTCAGCGAGGCTCCAGAGGAGATAGGAATGAGGGTGAACAAGAAATACTCCTGTCTGCCTGCTGAGGAGAAGGGCATCCACATCATCAACATCCGAGCCATCGAGGACATTGGCTATGACCAGCACGAGAGCACAGTGAGTGACCACTGGAGTGTCCAAACCTGCTCACTGCATTCACCCCTCAGCTTATTTCTCATCCTTTCCACTCGCAGGGTGCTCTGAAATCCTCTCCCTCTGCCTTTCCAAGGTGCTGGGAAGGATTTCCACCTGCCACGGTCCGTGCTGACATGGTGGGGGTTGTTCTTGGTGTGAGAAAGGGAACCTTGTTTAACCTGTAGCAAAAAAAGAGGCTGACTCTTCTCAGAGAGAAGAACCTTTCCATCTTCTTGCCAATGCAGAGAACAGGACAGAATGCCTAAAATTCCATGCAAAAGCCATTGTTAACATAGGTAACATTAAACTGATCTCCTGTARCACACAACAGAGATCAGATTTACAGGGTGATTAATCACACCTCAGTTAAATTCTTTAACACAGATTTTAAAGGGAGTTGGTGATAGGAATACCCAGCATGATTACGACTTGGTTATGTAATTAACACATAAAAATAAGTTTATTAAGGTGGAGTGGGCTATGCAACAGATTTGCTGGGGAAAGAGGTACCAGAAAAAGCAACATGGGATTTATTGTGCTTGTGCTTAAAATTAGGATGGAGCATCGAGGAATAATTCTGTCAGGGTGTTAAAATCCTTCTGCTAGGGTGRAACTGAAATGTCTTGTCCCTTCAGCTGGGAATGAGACAGAAATGAGCTTGATGTGGTCTAAGTCAGTGCAGCTCCATTGAAGCACAGCAGAACTGTAAGAGAACGTTGGCCATAAGTACCTTTCAGCATTTGCACCCCCTCCTTAAAACAATCTGACCATTAATTTCTTTAAAACTGAACCCAATTTTTGCTTCCTGTTTACAGTGGGAATATAGCTATTCTCACATATTAGTAAATTTATGGAGTAGCCACAGTGGTGGTTCAGCCCAGTTTTTCAGAAACTGCTATTTAATTAATTAGCAAGATCAGCATATCTTAAAAGAAATGAAATACAACAGTTAGTTGCACTTGTTGATATTTTCTTACCRTAGAAATTTGCAAAAGTGAGTTGTCTGCCACAAGCAGACTGTCAGCTTGATTGAACAAAAAATGTTCTGAACTCACAGGTAGCTGCCATTAATCATGAAACAATTGGAAAGCAGTAGTTTATATCGAAGTTAAGCTTAAGAACTAAATGRGAATATCTAGACAGGGCACAAACATGAACAGCCTGTGCCCTGAAGAGTTTGGCATGGCTAAATAACCTTCTCTGTTTTAATGGAAAAGGGAATTAAGGGAAGAGGACAGAGTGAACTCYGTGGTGTCACCTAATGCTGCATTATTTTATTATATATTTATTCATTTTGTGCAAAGAATGTGTTTTAAATGGGAAAGAGGGATGAGATCCTAAAGGAGAGAGAAACAGGTAGCATTATTGTCTAAAATAACTTACACTTACTCTTTTATGTGACACCCAGTCAATAACTGGGTGTGCACATCCCAAATAGATTTTAGCATTTTGCAACTCTCTTTGGGAGCACAAGTCCTTTTCCTTYTATGGAGGATGGACATTCTTCTGTAAAATTAAAAACCAGAAAAGCTCCCTCGTCATTGAAAAGSCACTCCTATGGTGAGTATTTTTTTGTAAAAACAAATGCCAGTTKTGARTGAATTTTATTTCTTWTTTTTTTTCTACTGCGTGGATCTCCAGGGATAGAATTGTGAATTATGCATGAGAAGTGTTATAGAACTATAAATAAATTAATTGCTAGCACCATTTTTTTTTTTGTTTGTTGCTACAGTTGCCCTGTGCAGTTTTCAGATAAATGTTTGGTAATGGAACTATGTTTTGAGTCTCACCTTWCTTGCATCTTGCAATGCTTACCCAGCATTAACTCAGGCTGGGAACAAAGCCATTGCCACCATCGGCTTGCATAGTGACATGGATTTTATAAGTGGGAAAAAGAAGTGGTGAACTCAATCAGCAGTGATCCCGGTTCCCTGGCTGCTTTCCACGCTCTTTTTTGGCCGTGGCAGGACCAGCTGGCTCCCTTCAGTCTGTATCTAAGATGATCTCTTTCTCAGATGATAGGGACTTGCAATGAGAGATAAGAKAAGTGAGAAATATTTCCCCACGATATCAATCTGTTTGTCAGGATGGCTGCGCTGCAGATGTCACAGTGGAAAAGGACAGGCGATATTAGCAGCGATTAACCCCCGAAGGAGAACACCAAACCCACCAAGTAGCTGACTTACGAGCCAGTGTGCTGGTGATTAGATTAAATCCCAGTCATTTAATCTATTTATTTCTGGCCAATAAAACCCCAGCWGGCTATCAGTAAAAGTAAAGGTGTTAACTTGCAAAAATTTTCAGAGTAAGTGGCATGGCGGGGACTCCTCCCATCTGCCAGCTCTCTGGAGAGAGGGCACTGTGTGCTCCGGGCAGAAAGAGCCCGGACAGGAGAGGATGGTCTGTCTGGTGYCTGTGTTGGTGTGACATTCATCATTCTTCTCTCTCCTTCTCTCCACACCCCCATTCCCTGCTCCCAGTTGTTGAACTCCCTCTCCAAGAATCCGGATGCTGACTGCAAGTACGGCCTCTACTTCCGAGATGGCAAGAGGAAAGTGGATTACATCCTGGTGTACCACTACAAGAAATCCTCAGGAGGGAAGGCTCTGGCCAGGAGGGCTCTGCAGAACGATTCCAGTGTCCGAAGCAGCAAGCAGGACCAGCCTCTCCCAGGGAAGGGTGTGCAGCTGGAAATGGGGGAAGGCGAACCCCACGTGGATTACCACGAGGACGACAAGAGGTTCCGCAGGGAGGAGTACGAAGGGAACCTTGTGGAGGCCGGGCTGGAGCTGGAGAGGGATGAAGATGTAAGGATCTGTTTCAAATGGGTGGAAACAGAGGGGATAACTGGTGGCCAGGTCCTGGGGAAGGCTGAGCTGCTCCTGGGAACCTGGCTCTGCCTGAGGTTGTGCAAGCTCAGCTCTTGCAGAATTTGATTGCAGTTCTGTCAGTCAGCGCCATCCTCAGCCACTGATTTAGTTCACTACCCTGGAATGTGCCACAGTGTTGTAAATGCCCCAGYGAGGTGAAGTTTCTGACATTTCTTGGCCAGGATTTGTGGCACATCCACCATTGCAACACAGCCGTGTTGTTGTAGCTGGAAGTGAGGCTTAAATGGCTCTGAACACCAGTGCCAGTGATTTGCATCACTGGTAATTCCAAAAAAAAAAAAAAAAAAAAAAAAAAAAAAAAAAAAAAAAAAAAAAAAAAAAAAAAAAAAAAAAAAAAAAAAAAAAAAAAAAAAAAAAAAAAAAAAAAAAAAAAAAAAAATTAAAAAAAAAACAAAAATCAGATCCAGGCAGTATCATCTCCAAAAATCAGATCCAGGCAGTATCATCTCTATTCCTCAATACAGGCTTGGGGAGAATTAAATTTGTTCAGGAGTCTCTGGTCCACGCTCCTGCTGGAGCACACGGGTCCAGGTTACAGTTTGCTCTTTCCATTCTTAGACGTGAACAGTACAGCTTGTAACGTCTTCCACCTGCACTCTGAAAACAGGATATTCTATTAAAAGCCCGCTAGGCTGTGTAAAAAATGATGTATGTGGAGGGCTGCCAGTGTGTGATCGGTAGAAATAGACACAGCAGTATTAATTTCAAAGAAAGCTGTTACAATGATCCGACCCAGCCCATGTGCCTCAGACTGCTGAGAGAGAGGGTAAACATTTATGCTGGGTTTATTTACAGGACCTGAAAGCTGAGGTAAACATTTAGACCTGGGAACAGACTGTTAATCTGTCCCCTATTACTCACAAACTATAGGCATTTATATCATTTACATGTTCTATATATGTAATATATATATATATTTAAAATACAATGTAAGGAAAGCTCTCCCTGCCCTGTCTCCCAGTGAAAATCAGAATCACTTTCTGTCCAGCTCAGAGGTTTCTGAAGCGAGCTGGGAGCCTGCCCRTGCCAAGCCATGGCTATTTAAACCCTTTGCAAGGTGGGAGGTTCCACCTGTGACATGAAATTGGATTTCAAATGATGCAGGAGGGATCGGGGGCCAAGCCAGGACACTGTAAAAGAGAGGGAACTCTGTCCTTTCAGTGTGAGACACCAAACCACGTGAGATGAAAGTGTAGGGATGAAAGCAAGGCWCAGGGACTTACATCAGCTTCCACAGAGGGCACGTCCGTGTAGTGATGGCTAAATCCAGCTACCCTGAAACAGAGGCCAGAAAAAATTCAGAGAATAAAAAGCAGTTCTGTTCATGGCAGGGCCTTCAGGGACCTTCAGGGCAGTCCCAGCCCAGCCAGGGGCTGCACCCACAATGGACAATGGCTCACGGGTTTTTCACCCTTTCTCACTTTTGTCCATTTGCACATCGGGGCTGAATCCTCCAATTGCAGCT